ATTTTGGGATGAATTACAATGGAATAGAACCCTCTATTTATAGGGAGAGGGTGACTTAGCCACCAAGCAATGAACTCTAGAATCTCTCGAAATATAGACATTCACTAAATACAATTCTATTTATAACACTCCCCCTTCAATGTCTATCCAACAGATAATGTGCCTCGTTAAAATCTTAACTAAAATAAAATCCAGTGGAAAAAAAATTCTAGAGAAGGAAAAAGAGTACACATATCTAACAGTACGCCTTTTGGTTGCCTCGTTAGAAACCTTGCAAGGAAAACCCAGTGGGACAAAACCTTGTAAGGGAAAAAGAGTACAACGCGTATTAACTCCCCCCGATGAGAGCATCAATTCACATCCTTAAGCATTTGCATTCCAATCTTGTGCACCATCTTCAAAAGATCCTTGGTAGATATTTGATAAACAATATCAGCCATATTCACTTCAACGAATTTGTTTCACCTTGAAATCATCATCCCTGATAGATGTATTGTCTTCATATGATCTTGTTGGAATCATCATTTCAATATCTTCATATATGGGTGAAAACTCTTGCTATCATATTATCATGCTTATAGTTATAGCAAGATACATATGTGCACAAATTGCATTTAGGATATAGTACTTCATGACCATAAATTCTATATGCTTTAAGCAATTTAAATCCTTCAAGGATTTTTAAGTCATATAAGCCATATAATAGACTTTAGATGCATATCAAGTTTTCATGTCATGCTAGACATATAAAATATCGAAAACTGATTGCACATACCATTGACTTTATACTTTCAAGTGTTTGAACTACATGTTCAAAACTACATGTCTTTCATATGAAACCAATTCTATTCGAATTGTTTCTTCAGACTTAAGATCCTCATATATATAGTTAGCGCTATCATAGATGTCGTCGACAAACATTTTATATCAGTTTCAATATTTTTTCATAAAGACATAACATAGAGATCTCTTCATTCATATTTTTAGGTACCTGAATCTCTCTTGAGAATTTATGAAGTGTTATGTCATATGATCTTCTAGATCACTTGCCTCCTTTATTATGATCATTTTGATCATTTGCTAATCTTCTTTATCAAGAAGTTTCTTTGACACCGATTTGTCTATACGCTTTAAGCATACCATAGACTTTGTCCTTCTAGGACTTATTCTAATAGGAGCATTTGCAGTGAGAATATAGTTACTTTCTTTGGGTCATCAAATGCATCTGGCATGCTTTACAATATATTGCAGATGAATTATCCTTTTATGAACTTCAAGTTCATATTGTTTTATTCGAAGATCTAGATGTACAAATAATAATTTATTTCGCGTAACTTTTTCTCAGATGTTATCATCTCTCCCCCTCATGTTAGAAAAACTAACATGCTTCCTCAACTTTGGGAACGCATCTTTGTGCGTTATGGTGTTAATCAAAATATACATCACACATCAATAATAATGAGATGGAATTATTTGGTTCCTGACCCTGAACCACTTGTGAGGAGAGAAAATAATATACTTTGGTATATAACGTATATCAAACTGATATAGATAACTTTGTTATCATAAGCAATTGTTTAGCTATTAAGTGGAGGCACTCAATAAATCATTTTGCTAAACCAATTGTGATGTAAACCAACTTATCAAGATGAACTTCTTGAATAGAAAATCTAGAAATTATGCTCGAAATTAAATTATTGAGCAAGTTACCTCGCACACACCAGCCAGGTTGCGGGTTAATAATAATTGCGCATGTAACCATCTCATAGATGCATCTTATGTGGTATACATGGCGGGTGAATGGGCCCATATTCACCTTTGATATTTCTAGCATTCATGGGATTCAATCCCAATTTTAGTTGGTCAATTAATTAATGAGAACAAGCATTATAAGAGAATTCGTAAAGAACTTTCTAGTTCTTTAATATTTACCCATGTGATTTCTATTTTATTTTTGCACATCATACTTAAATTAACATGGCTAAATTAATTATGCCAACTGAATAAATTATCAATATTGATAAAGTTCAGATTTACACCATGACGTATGCAATTATCAATAAACTCAAGTTTATTATGATATGGGTTTTTATATCAATAAACATCCACTTTATTATGGTATTCTTTTATTTATGCAGTACAAACTGGAGAATGAAGCGGGTAGCTTTGCACATACATATTACCCCGCTACAAGTTGTAGTAGTAGAAGATATTAAATCTTTCCTTTATTTATAGTCTCAGTATGACCAACCGCTTTCACGAATACTTTAGAAACTGAATAAGTTTCTTTGAGACTTACTACAACACAACGTCTTAT